GTATCAACCGGGTATCAACCAGGTATCAACCGGGTATCAACCGGGTATCAACCGGGTATCAACCAGGTATCAACCAGGTATCAACCGGGTATCAACCGGGTATCAACCAGGTATCAACCGGGTATCAACCAGGTATCAACCAGGTATCAACCGGGTATCAACCAGGTATCAACCGGGTATCAACCAGGTATCAACCGGGTATCAACCGGGTATCAACCGGGTATCAACCGGGTATCAACCGGGTATCAACCGGGTATCAACCAGGTATCAACCGGGTATCAACCGGGTATCAACCGGGTATCAACCAGGTATCAACCAGGTATCAACCAGGTATCAACCGGGTATCAACCGGGTATCAACCAGGTATCAACCGGGTATCAACCAGGTATCAACCGGGTATCAACCGGGTATCAACCAGGTATCAACCAGGTATCAACCAGGTATCAACCGGGTATCAACCAGGTATCAACCGGGTATCAACCGGGTATCAACCGGGTATCAACCAGGTATCAACCAGGTATCAACCGGGTATCAACCGGGTATCAACCAGGTATCAACCAGGTATCAACCAGGTATCAACCAGCAAAATTAGAAATTTCTCCTGCAGTTCTCTTTTTACAATTCTTCATGAATTTGTTTATTAAATTTGTTTTTCCCTGCATTTAAGCAACATGGAACTGCCTTTGCCAAGTGTCGGTCTTGGACGGGGGGGGGGGACTTGACACTTACGCAAGCGTCAAGGACTTGCAAATAAGACCAGTAATATTGCCGGGAAAACTTGTCTGAGGTGAGTTAAACAAGTTTTTTTGCACTTACTAACACTCAATGAATTCTGGGGCTCTGTGTATCCTTTGGCGTAGAGGATCCAATTCTTCTTCTGTTGTTTGGTCAATGTGTGTATGTTGTATTGTTTGAGTGCATTTGGCAAGTGTGTGTGTGTGTGTCGTTTGAGTGCACTTAACCAGTGTGTGTGTGTGTGTTGTTTGAGTATACTTGGACAGAGAGTGTGTATGTAGACTTGGTATGTTGTTGACATACTTGTATACTTCCGATGGGGTAGTATTGGGGAAATGGGAGGGGCGGGGAGGTGCTGGGGAGAGGGGGGGAGGGGAGAGGAGGGGGGGCGTAGTTGGAGTGGAGGGTAGAGGGGGGGGGGGAGAAAGCTAGTACACAGGTAGTATGCAGGTGTTCTGAAGGTAATTACGGGCGGCACCCGAACCTGTGGGTATAACCGTGATATGTTGTTGATTGCGACCCCCACCCAGACCCCACCTAGACCCCACCCAGACCCCACCTAGACCCCACCTAGACCCCACCCAGACCCTCACCCAGACCCCATCCAGACCCTCACCCAGACCCCATCCAGACCCTCACCCAGACCCCACCCAGACCCCACCCAGACCCCACCCAGACCCCATCCAGACCCCACCTAGACCCCACCTAGACCCCATCCAGACCCCACCCAGACCCCACCCAGACCCCACCTAGACCCCATCCAGACCCTCACCCAGACCCCACCTAGACCTCACCCAGACCCCATCCAGACCCTCACCCAGACCCCACCCAGACCCCACCTAGACCCCATCCAGACCCTCACCCAGACCCCACCCAGACCTCACCCAGACCCCATCCAGACCCTCACCCAGACCCCACCCAGACCCCACCTAGACCCCATCCAGACCCTCACCCAGACCCCACCCAGACCCCACCTAGACCCCAACAACCACATACCGGCGCCAGTACCTACATGAGGGAGTTACCTCACCAGGCATAAGAATTTACTCAAGAGCCACCTCTCACCACCTCATCTCAACATACCCCCCTTCCCCCCCCCACCTCCCCACACACACAACACTGGTGTAGAAAAACCTGTTCAACCTCTGTAATTGTTTACGTCGTGGCCTCGGTGTTGCCAGGTGATGTAGCTGAACGAAACAATTAGGTCATTAATATTGCAAGAACTTTCCCAAGAAATTTTTAAGAATCTCTCTCTCTATATAAAGATGCAAGTCTACAGTCTCGTGGTCTTAAAGGATCAAGTCTTTCGAATCGTCGGGGATTCGATTTGGGCTCTTAAAAAGCAAATACTACGAGTGATGCTAAGAATGAGGAACGATGGAATCCAGAGTAAGTGTAGCCTCCTCAAGACCTCCAGGAACAGGAATGCAGTCAACCAGGTCCTTGAGGCTTCGTCGTGAAGGGTGAGGGTTTCACGAGGACCTGAGACGATGGCTTTTAAATCTTTTTTTGCACTCTTGTCTTCCTCCAGCTTCTGTTGCAAGATCCTGGGAAGATTACTGGAGGCTCTTAGCCCATAGCCCAGATCCTTATCTTAATATTCCGGCTCCTTGTCCTCATATCCCGGCTCCTTGTCCTCATATCCCAGCTCCTTGTCCTCATATCCCGGCTCCTTGTTCTAATATCCCAGCTCCTTGTCCTCATATCCCAGCTCCTTGTCCTCATATCCCGGCTCCTTGTTCTAATATCCCAGCTCCTTGTCTTAGCGAGCATAAGAAATATTGCCGGAACAACCGTGGACATCTTCAAGAGGAAACTAGATTGTTTCCTGCAAGGAGTACCGGACCAACCGGGCTGTGGTGGGTATGTGGGCCTGCGGGCCGCTGCTAGCAACAGCCTGGTGGACCAAACTCTCACAAGTCGAGCCTGGCCTCGGGCCGGGCTTGGGGAGTAGAAGAACTCCCAGAACCCCATCAACCAGGTATCAACCAGGTATCATATCCCAGCTCTTTGTTTTCATATCCCAGCTCCTTGTCCTAATATCCCAGCTCCTTGTCTTCATATCCCAGCTCCTTGTCTTCATATCCCAGCTCCTTGTCTTCATATCCCAGCTCCTTGTCCTAATATCCCAGCTCCCATATATAATTCAGTGTGTCAGGGACAGGCAGCCAATGTATATACATGCTACGTTTATATCGAGGCCCTCCACAGAATGCAACCTCACAACATGCTGATTAGCTCCTGAGTACCTGTTTACTGTTAGGTGAACAGATGCATTAGGTGATCGGAAACGCTCCAATTTGAGAGTAAAAGTCCCTCTCGGATTCTGTTACATATCAGGGACAGTACGTAGCTCTTCACGACCTCTGTACAGGACTTGAGACGCGAGTTGATTGTCTTCCAGGGAGTTGATTGTCTTCCAGGGAGTTGATTGTCTTCCAGGGAGCTCCGTTCCGTGGCCACGTTAACAGATGGCTGTGGGTGCGTCTTCCTGGTGCAATTCACACAGCTTTAAACAGTTTATAATTATCTTAAGAATGCAGTTTACAAATACCTTGCGAATTTGCTGTTCAGAATTGACTTTGGAATTCATAATTGCTATACGAATCAACAGTTCAGAATTAATGTGAGAATTATCTGTTCATAATTAACTTAATATTTATCTGTTCATCATTAATTTCAATGTTCATAAATTACCTGCTCGGAACAAATCCACCTTTGTTCCGGCAATATTTTTAAATGCTTGCTGGGAGGGTGTTGAACAGCTGTGGACCTCTGATGTTCAGTGTTCTCTGATTGTGCCTATGGCACCTCTACGCCTCACTGGTTCTATTCTGCGTTTTCTTCCGTCTCTTTCGCTCCTCTCGTGAGAAGAGAGGAGAGTAAAGAGGAAAGGTTTCTTAGTGGAAAGGGCCGGAGGCAGAAGAGGTTTGCCTCTAGTTATTTGCATGACTTCAGGGGCCTGTTTGGCCAGGCCCAGGACGGGTTGGTGCTTCCAATCTCTCTCTCTCTCTCTCTCTCTCTCTCTCTCTCTCTCTCTCTCTCTCTCTCTCTCTCTCTCTCTCTCTCTCTCTCTCTCTCTCTCTCTCTCTCTCTCTGCAATTTGCATGACTAAGGTGTGAATTACCTACACACCTGCAAATACAGTGTTGCCCCTAGGGAAGGATTTAAGTCCCAGTTTGATTTCAGTTAGATGTTCTCTGGGATCCTTCCCTGTTGTAACTTGGTCATAATTGGTAGATCTAGGGGGGTTCCGCTTTTGTGGCCCCGTGTTCGAGGCTCAAATGGTCCAAGTGAATGACATCTAGCAATATATATTTAGGTCTCCAAGTATATCTTCAGCTATCTGTCAGTTTAATTACCTATAGATCTATCTATTCACCTGTCTTTCTATCTTTCTGTCTATTTAGATATAATATCTAGCTCTACATATAGTTATATAGATTTATAGTTAGGTTTATAGGTTTTATAGGTTTATAGGTTTATAGTTAGCTATGTATCTAGCTAAATATTTATGTATATCTGTTCAGAACAAGGACAATGAGAGCATCCATGTCCTCTTCCGCATCTCCAGGGACAGCATCAGTGTCCTCTTCCACACGCGTCAGGGACAGCATCCGGAGGAAGGGCTGACCTCTCTCCCACCTGCTTCCGACCCATCACCTTTGTTTGGGGGGGAAGAGTGGGTGTGGCTCTTTCGGATGCTGCGTTCTCTTATCAGCACTCCGGTCCGTTAATCCGGATGTTTATTCCTACCTTATCCGAGCTCTGATTCCTTTAGTCGAATTTGACATATATTTTTTTTTAAATATAATTGAATAGGGTGGGTGTAGGTGGGTGAAAACCCCCACCTACACCCTTCCAAATTCACCAAGACCCACCTGTCACCACTATAGTTCCACTAAATACCTCACCCACACCGTCCCACATTTTTGTCATGGCAACAAACCACAAATACGTCACACCCATCTCAAAATACGCCCACGCCAAGCCTGCGCCCACGCCAAGCCTGCGCCCACGCCAAGCCTGCGCCCACGCCAAGCCTGCGCCCACGCCACATTTCGAGTGGTTGAAGCAGGTGATGTCCTACTGGAAGGAGGTACAAGTACGCACCCTATTGGACTACACATTTCCCCTACAAGAGTTCAGTGTTAAGGCAGTCTGGCAACATATTTTTATCAACAATGTTCTTCATTCTAATGCTGTTCTTCCTGACACGAATGTAGTATGACTTGTTCTAACTTGTTACTTTTGTTCTTCAGACTCCGGTGAAGGTGTACTTGAGGTTCATGAAGCCGGACATCGAGTACAAGACCATCAACTTGTCCTCCTCGACCACCTGTAGGGAACTGGTCCTCATGCTCTTGGCCAAGTTCCGCTTGCGGCACCGCGACCCCAACTTGTTCTTCGTCAGGATGGAGGTGGTGGTCCGAGCCCCGGGCGGAGGCGCCCCAGCGCGGCGCCTGCTGGTGCTGGAGGACCACGCCTGTCCCGCAGAGTTGCAGCAGTGTCGCCCTCGAGGCGAGGCGCGCTTCAGCGTCGGCGTCCGTCGAGGAGGACTTCTGCGGGTCTACGACTCCATCCTCATGCCTGGGGTGAGTGCCTGGGGGTGCCAGAGTGCCTTGGGGTGCCAGAGGGCCTTGTGGTGCCAGAGGGACTTGGGGTGCCAGAGGGCCTTGGGGTGCCAACTGGCCCTGTGATACCAGATGGTCTTGGTGACTGTAAATGGAATCTTTATTATAATAATTTCTGATAACAATAATATGTGTCTTACCACTTTACTAGTAACATTAATCACCAGCTGTCACCACCTGGTAACGTGTACTAACACCAGCTGTCACCTCCCCCCCCCCCCCAACAGTCGCAGTACAAGTCCCTGCTAGTGTCGTACCGGACCACAGCCGAGGAGCTGGTCCAGCTGCTGCTCAACTGCTACAACAACAAGGAGAACCACAACCACTACATCGTGCACGAGGTCAACAACAGCCCCTACAGTGACCGTCCACTCCGGCCCGAGGAATGTCCCTTGTTGGTCCAGAGCGAGTGGCCCAGGGCGGCCCGGGCCAACATGGCCTTCGTCCTCCGTCGCAATGTGGCCTACGCCCTCAGTCTTAAGTCTAGGGTAAGTCTTTTATAATTCCTCTTAGTCTAGGGTAAGTCTCCTGCGCCCTCAGTCTTAGGTCTAGGGTATGTATTCACCTAGTTGTGTATTCACCTAGTACTCACCTAGTTGTGCTTGCGGGGGTTGAGCTCTGGCTCTTTGGTCCCGCCTCTCAACTGTCAATCAACTGGTGTACAGGTTCCTGAGCCTATTGGGCTCTATCATATCTACACTTAAAACTGTGTATGGAGTCAGCCTCCACCACATCACCCCCTAATGCATTCCATTTGTCAACCACTCTGACACTAAAAAAGTTCTTTCTAATATCTCTGTGGCTCATTTGGGCACTCAGTTTCCACCTGTGTCCCCTAGTGCGTGTGCCCCTTGTGTTAAACAGCCTGTCTTTATCTGTGTGTGTGTGTGTGTGTGTTTCCATGGTGATATCTAACAATAAACACCGATTATAGATATTTATTGATTTCCTTTCCACCTCCAACAGGTATCATGGCGTCACAGTTTGGACCAGTCGAGCACTGATACGGACTCAGAGCAAGAAGACCAGATCACCGCCCCCATCACCGCCCCCATCACCGCCCCCATCACCATCCCCATAACACGAGCATCTTCCATCGACAGCATCCTTAGCACGAGCTTGTCCGAATCCTCTAGCTTGTCATCCTCAGTGACTATTGCTTCCACCATTCTGCCATCGCCTTCCCCTTCTACAGCTTCAGATGACTCTGGCTTCTCTTCCACTTCATCTCGTCTGTCCAACGTGTCTACGGATTCTCTTACTCCCCCTTCTTCCCCTTCTCCCTCTGCCTCCTCCCTCGATTCATCATCTACATACATATCCTTTAATACAGACTCGAAAGTGGAACAGTTTTCAACACCAGTTAGTGTTGACAGTCTCACGACAGTCACTTCAGAGATCGGGTCTGACAGTTCACCTTCGGCGGCACAACTTAGTGTTGTGTTCACTTCTGCAGCGACAACAACACCTCCATCGTCTTCCACAGTTACAGCAGACTGTAAAACACCGGTTTCAGAGCTCTTGTCTCCATTCGACTCTACTGTGGCATCGTCGACTTCGAGTTCATCATTAAAATCGTTCGAAGTAGCGAAGGCTCCTTCGCCCGAAGTCGCGAAGTCTTCTTCGCCCGAAGTCGCGAAGTCTTCTTCGTTCGAAGTCGCGAAGACTCCTTCGTCCGAAGTCGCGAAGTCTCCTTCGCCCGAAGTCGCGAAGTCTCCTTCGCCCGAAGTCGCGAAGTCTCCTTCGCCCGAAGTCGCGAAGTCTCCTTCGTCCGTAGTCGCAAAGTCTTCTTCGCGTGACTTGTATGACTTGACTCCAATTATCTCCGACTCGTTACTGACTTCCTTTTCTTCTCCGCCATCGCCTTCGACTCATCCAAAGTCCCTTCATCACTTTTCTATTTCCACCCCTTCCACTCCTCTACCTTCCAGATCTCCTCACCCCTTCCCTCTCTCAATTCCTTCTACACCACCTTCTACTCCCAGATCTGTCAATTTCTTCCATCTTCTCCCTTCTAGGCATTCTTCCCGTCCCAGAGTCATCCATCCCATCTCCACCTATTCCACACCATCTTCCCCTTCCTCGACCCTCAATCACCCGTTCCCTATTTCCATCCCTTCCTGTCATGATTTCTGTCTCGGATCTCACTATCCTTCTCCTCCTGAGACTTATGGAGGCCCTCTTCAGTGCACCATCATCACCATCCCCACCAGTGGTGACCCCACAGTTACCAGCAACACCATCCCAACCACCACCACTACCGCACTGTCTACCACCACTACCACCTCCACCACGACCACTACCTCACCCTCCACCACGACCACTACCTCACCGTCCACCACGACCACTACCTCACCCTCCACCACCACAGCTACCTCACCCTCGACCACTACCTCCTCCTCTACATCTGCGAGTCTCAAGGAACTAGCAGCAGCTCTTGAGTCCCTCAGAACGCTAGCAGTTCGGTGCCCTGATTACGACAACTGCTTCTACATTTAATTGGTTCCTCTGAACTCATCCTCTCCCACCTGGTTGACAGGTGAGTGACAGGTAACTTTTCCATGTTGAAGACCATCAACATTAGATACTAATAATAGTTAACCCTGCGAATGGCGTTTAAAGACATTAATGATGATGGCTGATACCCATAACTCTATTGATGATTGAGGTATGGCTTAAGTACACCGTTAAAGAAACTGAAAGAGTTGTTCCTGCTGTGGTTGTTGACGCTGAGATGCTGCAGCCAGGAAATTGACATTTTAATCTGTAATTTTCTTGATATGTCTTGAACCTGTCTTAAGAGAAACACTTGTGATATTGTTATCTCTCTTGTGCTAAAGCTCTGGTCTTATTGCCCCCATCTGGTACTTATGAAACCGTCTGTGATAGTTAAGTTTACGTGGTAAGGAATCCCTCCTCTCGTCTAATTTCAGTGCAGTTGAACAAGCTGTTAAAAATTGCGGGGGCTTTAATAAAACTTAAAATAAAGTACTGGTGTTTCTGGGAGAACTGGCTTCCCAATGATGGACACAGCTGTCCTCTTAACCAACAACAAAGCAGGTTTAAAAGTCAGCTGAGGATGATATACACATGTGCAGCATAGCAGCTGTAGTATAGACTACACATGTGTAGCATAGCAGGTGAAGTATACCAGCTGTATACCACACTTTCATAGAAATAATATGATCTATTTTACTACGACAATCACAAGTACCAAAAATACTTCAACTACATGTATGAAAACATAATAATTAGTTCAGTATTGTCAATACCACAATTAAAAGTATCATTTTTTTCTAAGATGGTTGTATGTTAATAAATAAAAATAGCAAATTTGCAATTTATCTAAACTGAATTTTTTTTTATTTTCAGCTATCCAGACAGATAACTTCGGAGGCTATGAGCTCAACTCTGCAGGAAAGGTCAGCTTCGCATGGTCAGAAACATACACACTCAAAACCAACTCTCCCTACGGTTACTGACCAGAGTTATACAGGACCTACACGACGACTCGACGACATTTACTGTCCAGAGTCGTCAAGGATCTATCCATTATACTAGGACACGACCGACCTCTCAAGCCTAAAAGCAGCAGTGTATAACAGCTAGCGTCGATGCTCCTTCTTATCTGAAGAGCACATATGAAAATATGTCATAGGATAATAAGCATCTTCTCTCGTATCTACAAGAAGTGGGATGATGGATAACATTTGGGATAACATTTCTGTTATCGAAGTTTTAAACATATCAAAGTTCAGAATATCATTTTATGTTCAGTTAATAAACATTCACTTGTTATTCTAGTATATAATTATGATGGTGAAGAGAAGAAAACGTCTTGGAAAAATTATACAGTGTCTCGAGAATATGATTATAGAAAACTATAACTCTGACATGAGTCACTGTTGAACGCGTACGCCAAAATTATAACATTGACAAACATATTTACAACTTTGCACGTTACAGATACATTACACAGCCCAATGAGGATTTCCCCGGACTTAATAACGGTCCAAGACGGACCGAAACATCGCCACATATCCATCTTCTGTTATGTGGTTGGGTCATCAGGACGATCACAATATATCCCATCGTGTCTTGAGCACAAACATTTCCACCTTTGGACACCATTCCCTCTGGAGCCGTCCGGTGTTGCAACGATGTCTGGAAAAGGACCCAAAAGGTCATTTTGGACCTTTTGGATCCTCCAGGCACTGGAGTCACCCCAGAAAGGGGGCGACTCCAGAGGCTGGAGATGATAATGGAAGCGTTCCATCGCTCGTGTTCGATGTCCTCGGCCAGCCGTGACCGTCGCCAGTCACCGGACACCTAGTTGCTGCTTCAGAGACTCCATCTGAAGGACGCCATGTTGGGGACCAGTCCCTCGCTACACAGGACGTAGTGTTAAACACGAATCTTATAAGAATTAGGATGTTCAATTGACCCAGTCAATATTTTTACTTCTGAATCAGCAAGAAATTAATCTCAATCCACAAGGGAAACAGAAAATCCTTCAGAATATATATATATATATATATATATATATATATATATATATATATATATATATATATATATATATATATATATATATATATATATATAAAGGAAAGAAATACGTTATAAAGGAGTAGGTAAAGAAGACGTGCTTTGAAGGAACACGTCATAAGAAAAATGAGACACATGCTAGTCACTTCTCCCACGTCATCCAGGCACTAACTGGCACTGATAACCAGGTTCAGTGTCAATTAATTTAAATAGAGCAGCTCAAGGCACTGATTCAATTCCTAAATGCCATCACGTCTTCAGCTTACATCTTTATCACAAATGACTGAATGAGAAGAAAATAAAGAGTATTCAGGGAAGACCTTGTGGATTCTCACTGAACAATTTGATATTTTCTACCACCCCTATATAATGTAGAATTTTAAATACTCGTATGAAGCAAAAATCAATATTTTTTTTATTTATAGACCATGATAAAAATTATATGAATTACGTTCTTTTATATAAATTTATTATTAGCATCTCAGTAGAAACGTGATGTTTATTGGGGCTGTTGTGGATTTTATAAGTGTATTAAATTGTATTTTAACTTAGTTAATTAATTGGTATTATTATTATTATTATTATTATTATTATTATTCAATTGATATCATCAAGTATTCATTAGAAAGACATCCTAATATGAAAATAATATTCAAGGGACACAATGTTATAGACCAATACTCTTAAACTGTACTTTATAGTTTTCTATATTAGTCAGAATCTAAGTCACGTATGTACATATTCTGAGTTGCATATATACAGTACAAAATTATCGTATGTATCGCCTTTCTGTAAATACAGCTTGTGTATTTCTGCTTTCCTAAATGGTAAATGTATTTGATATTTAAACAAAAAATTATGGATTTTTAATATTTTTGGTTTAAGAAAATATTTTTAAAATTGTTATTAGTGCTATCTATTTTGTGTGTGTATTTTATTTGCTTAGGTTAATCTTTTGGCTTTTAAGTTCATCTGAAATATTTTGAGGTTTTTATTCTGAACTTACTCAAAATGTATTGCCTGGAACTCCTTCTCTGCATCAGATTTTTTGAGAGAATAATCAATCACATTTTGCTTTCTAAATCTAAATAGTTTCTTAGATAAATGTTTCTAACTCTAAATAGTTTCTTAAAAATGTTCTAAATCTAAAACTTTTCTTAAATAACTGTTCTTAATCTAAATTGTTTCTTAATTAATGTTTCGGCTGCCTTATCTCCTTATCTTTCTCGGACATATTTATTCATATAAATAGGTCTACTCCTTATCTTATCTCCTTATCTTTCTCGGACATATTTATACAAATAAACAGGTCTACTCTAATATAGACCTTTATTTATAATAAAAGTAGAGCAGGCCTGCTCTAATATAGACCTTTTGGTATCCTTAAAAGTTATTATATCCATCTTTTTATCTGCTTTTTTTCAAACTTATTCATCTTCTTCGACGTGTTTTTTTCAATAATTTTACATTTAAACAAAGTCAGCTTTGCCAAAGAGTTGTATGTGAGTTTATGTCTTGATCTACCTGTACAGTAGTTACTTGTTCAGTAACTAATTAATGTTACTTGTTCAGTAACTACCTGGAGAACATTACTGAATGTGTAAAATAAAGTGTTATATTCTGAAGCTACTTTCTTTCTTTCCTCTATAATTTGCATACATGATATCTGCATTCAGAAACGTGTCTAAGGAATCATTCAGAACCTTGTAACGTATGGTAGACCAAAATGTAGTTTACATACTCCAGGCTGGAGTATGCATACTCCAGCATACAGGAGCTGCATACTCCAGCTTGGCATACTCCAAGCTGGAGTATGCATACTCCAGCCTGGAGTTCATACCTAGTTAAACATAAGACAAAATTCGAGAAGATTCAGATGCCACTGAACTAATCCCAGAACTGAGAGGTATGAACTATGAGGAAAGACTACGGGACCACTTGGACTGGACGGTCGAGCGACGGTTTCGCTTCATGCAGGTCTGTGTTCAATCCCCGACCGTCCAAGTGGTTGGGCACCACTCCTCCCCCTTCCGTCCCGTCCCATCCTTTCCCCTGATAATTCCCTTTACGTTTTCATTTCGTAAATATTTAAATTTAATTACGGGAGGTAAACTTAACGTCCCTGGAAGACAGAAGAGTAAAAAGAGACATAATCACCACCTACAAAATTCTTTGAGGACTTGACAGGGTGGACAAAGATAAACTATTTACTACGGGTGAAGCACGAACAAGGGGACACAGGTAGAAACTGTGCTCAAATGAGCCACAGAGACATTAGAAACAATTTGTTCAGTGTCAGAGTAGTTAACAGATGGAATGCATTAGGCAGTGATGTGGTGGAGGCTGACTCCATACACAGTTTCAAATGTAGATATGATACAGGTCAGTAGGCTCAGGAACCTGTAAAACTAGTTGAGAGATGAGTATGTTCATTAGTATGTCCAAAATCATGTTCATTCGTTTTGAATGAACAGTATGTTCAAAATCATGAATGCATCTTTGCGGTCGGACGCTGGATGGAATGAACACAGCCTGAGAACGGGTTGCAAGCAGGTATACCAATCGACTCCCACAACCCCACTTGACTCTTAACCAACAGAGGCCAATTGATTGATTGATGAAGATTACTAAGCCAACCCAAGAGGTGGCACGGGCATGAATAGCCCGCAAGAACAGAGCCCCAATCGCCTCCTGCAAGACTTAATCCAACCATCGCGCGACACTAGCCTCTTCCTCTACTCGAAGCCAAACTTGTCTTCAGCGCTCCGCGGACTCTCAGACCCACGTGATGGCACTCAGGGCAGAAACTCGATCTGCCTGGCGGTCTTCCTCTGATGGGTCATTAGTCAATTATCGAGGATTAACGGAGAAGTGCCTTCCCCCCTTTTTTTTGAGGGTCTCCGGACACGGACTTGGAGGAGGAAGGTGAATGGGTTATCGAAGGATCTGCAGTGTGTTGAAGGGTATCAAAGAATAGTTGTGTGGTGGTGGGTTATTTCTGGTGGTTGTGTGGTGGTAGGATGGGACTCATGCCTTAGAGAGGTCCTGTATGATGGGTTTAGTGCCTTAGGGGAGGTCCTGTAGGATGCAGGTAATGCCTTAGGGTCGTAGGGAGGTATAGAGGAGGTATGGAGCAGGAGAGGCAAGAGAGAGAGAGAGAGAGAGAGAGAGAGAGAGAGAGAGAGAGAGAGAGAGAGAGAGAGAGAGAGAGAGAGAGATGGGGGGGGGGGGTAATAAATGAGAGTTTTGCTTTCACTTCACCATATGAATAGGTCGCTCTGGGATCGAACTCGGATCTTATAAGATGCTCTTGATATCCATAATGTACTAGAAATTGAACGCTGTTCTCAATAGCGTCAATGTTGAAGTGCATTAAGTGTGAGGACAGGTTGATTCCATGGCATGAATATTAGTGTTTAACTCGCAGGACGATCGGGGATCGAGCTCGGACCCTTCAAGAAGTAGGGGGAGGGTGACTGCTAGAAGATGAGGGGGGGGGGTGAGTCTGATGGGGGATGGGGTGCTGACTGTAGCCCCCCCCCCATAATAATGGCAGTATTAGGCCTAATATATCCACAACCATCTTCATTAATCTATAATAATTTTAATTATCTATTATCACTCTATTTTGTGTTGTTGCTGTAATCGTTATTATTCATAAATAAATTACAAACTTACAAATGACAAAATATAATTTCAAAAATTGATTTAGAAATTTGAAATTATTTAGAAATTTCAGAAAGCATGAAATTAAATAGGTGATAAGAAATCACTTAATTTAAAAGATAGAAATCAACTATTTAAATGTATAAAATATCTATTATTTAAAAAAAGTCACTTATTTAAAAGGATAAAAATAATTTATTTCAATGGATAAAAAAAATCAGTTATATAATGTGATAAAAATAATTTATATAATAGGATAAAAAAAACTATTAATTAAACAAAATCACCTAATTACCAAAATTATTAAAAAAGATTAATTAAAAAAGGATAAAACTCTCACCATGCCAACAAAATTATTAAAAGATTAGTTTAAAAAAATTGTAAAAAAACTACCATCATTGATGACAGAAAATCTATCAAGCAGAAAGGATATCCTTGAGGTAGAGACTGTCAGCAGACCCCAGCAGCTGTCAGCAGACCCCAGCAGTTGTCAGCAGACCCCAGCAGTTGTCAGCAGACCCCAGCAGTTGTCAGCAGACCCCAGCAGTTGTCAGCAGACCCCAGCAGTTGTCAGCAGACCCCAGCAGTTGTCAGCAGACCCCAGCAGTTGTCAGCAGACCCCAGCAGTTGTCAGCAGACCCCAGCAGCTGTCAGCAGACCCCAGCAGCTGTCAGCAGACCCCAGCAGCTGTCAGCAGACCCCAGCAGCTGTCAGGAAGAGGCTGTCATCCTTATCAGGAAGTCGTTCTTTGCCCTCTCGAGAAAGCTCACGAAAGTATCAAGAAATTCATCAATAGAAAGTTCATTACCTGATGAGGAGGTAAAAACGTTCAAGAGGGAAGGAAGTGACGATCAGGAGAATAGAGGTGAGGAGGTGTGAGAGATAATGAGGAAGAGGAGGATAGGGGAAACAGGAGGAGCTGAAGGAGGATGTGCTGGAGGATGTGCTGGAGGATGTGCTGGAGGATGTGGTGAATATTGGAGGTGTAGGTGCGTGGGAGATGTGTCAGTGGGGCGGAGCCGTGCACACACCTATTGTGGTAGGGGGGTTGTGGTAGTGGTAGTGGAGGTGGTGGAGTCAGCATCTTCACTCACAGGATGAGTGACAGTGCCCAACCGTACACAACACAGTCCAGAGACATCAACATAACGTCTAGAACCCACAAACAAAAGTTCAAGTAGGACTTATGACTCCAAGTGGTACTCGACACTCACTCCTCAAGGCTTCAAACGATACCGAATTACATAGTAATCGTAAAGAATAAATGGATAAAAAGAGGAGAAGGCAACTATCAGAGGGACAGCTGATTGATTGATT